CTGCTCTAATCTAATCACAGCCATATGGGTGACATTTAAAAGACTTTAAGCAAAATAAATAATTTGTAATTATTTTGTTTAATGATCAGAGTGATTTAGTTGCTGCAAAGATTTGAAGAAAGAAGCACTGTTAAACAATATGGTGGCTGCTGAAAATATTTTAAAATCGGTGGAACATGTCAGTGAGGCATCTAAGGCGAGAATACCTTTTCCCATGAAAAGATATGCCACCGAGGGTAAAAATATACCCTTAAAGAAAAATTGGTCAGAGACCTGGTGTACTTTGTCGGCTCATTTCGAGACAGTGTGTGATCAATATTTCAATTTGGAATTGCGTAAAGATGATGTGTTTGTGGTGACTTTTATGAAATGTGGCACTACTTGGATGCAGGAATGTGCCTGGTTGTTGTTGAATAACTTGGACTATGAGAAGTCAAAAGAGGAGGTTGTGATGATCAGGAGTCCTTTCTTAGAGTGAGTGTTATATGAGAAAATTAAGTGAAACGTTATAAATTTGGAAATCATTTTTAGTTTTCACAGCATTATGCCTGGTCTACTAAATCATGTAGAGTTGATTGAGAAACTTCCCAGTCCCCGTTTAATCAAATCTCATTTACCGGCCAATCTGTTGCCTCTACAAGTCTGGGAAAAGAAACAAAAGGTTAATTTTTAGACTTTAATAAACAGTCCCTATGAAAGCTTACCCTTTCCCCCAATTTCAGATCATTTATGTCGCTCGGAATGCTAAGGATGTCATAGTATCCTCCTTCCATTTCGTGAAAAACTTAGATATGTGGCGTGGTGATAATTTCCATGATTATGTTGATGACTTCCTTAATAATGAAATTATTTACACCCATTTCTGGTCACATATAGTGGACTTTTGGAAAATGCGTAATGAGCCTTTCATATTCTTTGTCACCTATGAAGAAATGAAACGTGATTTGGCAAATGTTTTGCAAAGACTTTGTGTGTTCCTAGAGAGACCTCAATTGTCAGAGAAAGAAATGGAAGGACTTTTGCAACATTTATCATTTGATAGTATGAAGAGTAAGTATTAGATCAATATCTTTAGAAAGTTATGAAATAAATTATAATCATTTTCAGAGAACAAGAAAACCAATTTGACCGATCTACTCAAAGATGACAATCCCGCAGTTAAGGAAGACTTTCAGTAAGTTTTCTTAAACCTTAACCACTAAACAATTATATACAATATTTCCATAATTAACTTCTCTTTAGATTTATGCGCCGCGGTATTGTGGGTTCCTTTAAGGATGAGCTAACCCCTGAGTTGATTGCTAAAATCGATAAATGGTCTGCTGACTTTTTGTCACAACATGGTTTAAAGGAAGAGGATATTTTTGGTAAAATTTAAGTTTCAATAGTATTAATTAAACACTTTGTTAATATGTAAATTAAATTTAAGTTAAAGCAAATGAAAATAAAATCTGTGATTAAATTTCTCTAAAATTAAAAGTGACAACTTTTTGGTACAAATAGTGGTTCAATAAAGAAATGGTAAATATACCCTCCCCACCAATTAAATAAGTGATTACGACTAAGTGACTATCAGAAAAGGGCTTTAGATATGAGTTACAACCAAGTATGGGCCGAACCGTATACAAATTTCACAGAATTATTTGTATATAAACACCATAAATTTGAGTAAAATTTCTTGTCCCGAAATAAATTTCAGTCAATAATTCATGAGTTTAAGAAAGGATTAAGCAGAATTTGGAAGTGCACTTTATACAGAACTTACCTATGGCCAATTATGGACCGATCCTGAAAACATTTGGCTGAGTAATATGTATATATACACAACTTACTAATACTCAATTTTGTCTCGATCTGGTGATTTGTATATAATGTTCGTTTAATTGATTTTTAGAAGTAGACTTTAGATGGGAACTATGTTTGATTATGGACCGTTAATACAACATCAATTTAGATATGTATGCTCAAAATTTTTTGTGGTAATACCGATATTCTAGAGGAAATTTTGAACCGGTTTTGCTATAAGTTATAGTTCTGTTCAAGTTCTGTTCTAGTTCTGTTTTAGTTCTGTTCTAGTTCTGTTCTAGTTCTGTTCTAGTTCTGTTCTATTTCTGTTCTAGTTCTGTTCTAGTTCTGTTCTAATTCTGTTCTAGTTCTGTTCTAATTCTGTTCTAGTTCTATTCTATGCTAGAGGAAATTTTGAACCAGTTTTGCTATAAGTTATAGTTCTGTTCAAGTTCTGTTCTTGTTCTGTTCTAGTTCTGTTCTAGTTCGTTTCTAGTCCTGTTCTAGTTCTGTTCTAGTTCTGTTCTAGTTCTGTTCTAGTTCTGTTCTAGTTCTGTTCTAGTTCTGTTCTAGTTCTGTTCTAGTTCTGTTCTAGTTCTGTTCTAGTTCTGTTCTAGTTCTGTTCTAGTTCTGTTCTAGTTCTGTTCTAGTTCTGTTCTGGTTCTGTTCTAGTTCTGTTCTAGTTCTGTTCTAGTTCTGTTCTAGTTCTGTTCTAGTTCTGTTCTAGTTCTGTTCTAGTTCTGTTCTGGTTCTGTTCTAGTTCTGTTCTAGTTCTGTTCTAGTTCTGTTCTAGTTCTGTTCTAGTTCTGTTCTAGTTCTGGTTCTGTTCTAGTTCTGTTCTAGTTCTGTTCTAGTTCTGTTCTAGTTCTGTTCTAGTTCTGTTCTAGTTCTGTTCTAGTTCTGTTCTAGTTCTGTTCTAGTTCTGTTCTAGTTCTGTTCTAGTTCTGTTCTAGTTCTGTTCTAGTTCTGTTCTAGTTCTGTTCTAGTTCTGTTCTAGTTCTGTTCTAGTTCTGTTCTAGTTCTGTTCTAGTTCTGTTCTAGTTCTGTTCTAGTTCTGTTCTAGTTCTGTTCTAATTCTGTTCTAGTTCTGTTCTAATTCTGTTCTAGTTCTATTCTATGCTAGATGAAATTTTGAACCGGTTTTGCTTTAAGTTATAGTTCTGTTCTTGTTCTGTTCTAGTTCTGTTCTAGTTGTGTTCTAGTTCTGTTCTAGTTCTGTTCTAGTTCTGTTCTAGTTCTGTTCTAGTTCTGTTCTAGTTCTGTTCTAGTTCTGTTCTAGTTCTGTTCTAGTTCTGTTCTAGTTCTGTTCTAGTTCTGTTCTAGTTCTGTTCTAGTTCTGTTCTAGTTCTGTTCTAGTTCTGTTCTAGTTCTGTTCTAGTTCTGTTCTAGTTCTGTTCTAGTTCTGTTCTAGTTCTGTTCTAGTTCTGTTCTAGTTCTGTTTCTAGTTCTGTTCTAGTTCTGTTCTAGTTCTGTTCTAGTTCTGTTCTAGTTCTGTTCTAGTTCTGTTCTAGTTTCTGTTCTAGTTCTGTTCTAGTTCTGTTCTAGTTCTGTTCTAGTTCTGTTCTAGTTCTGTTCTAGTTCTGTTCTAGTTCTGTTCTAGTTCTGTTCTAGTTCTGTTCTAGTTCTGTTCTAGTTCTGTTCTAGTTCTGTTCTAGTTCTGGTCTAAGTTCTGTTCTATTCTGTTCTAGTTCTGTTCTAGTTCTGTTCTAGTTCTGTTCTAGTTCTGTTCTAGTTTCTGTGCTAGTTCTGTTCTAGTTCTGTTCTAGTTCTGTTCTAGTTCTGTTCTAGTTCTGTTCTAGTCTGTTCTACTGTTCTAGTTCTGTTCTAGTTCTGTTCTAGTTCTGTTCTAGTTCTGTTCTAGTTCTGTTCTAGTTCTGTTCTAGTTCTGTTCTAGTTCTGTTCTAGTTCTGTTCTAGTTCTGTTCTAGTTCTGTTCTAGTTCTGTTCTAGTTCTGTTTCTAGTTCTGTTCTAGTTCTGTTCTAGTTCTGTTCTAGTTCTGTTCTAGTTCTGTTCTAGTTCTGTTCTAGTTCTGTTCGAGTCTGTTCTAGTTCTGTTCTAGTTCTGTTCTAGTTCTGTTCTAGTTCTGTTCTAGTTCTGTTCTAGTCTGTTCTAGTTCTGTTCTAGTTCTGTTCTAGTTCTGTTCTAGTTCTGTTCTAGTTCTGTTCTAGTTCTGTTCTAGTTCTGTTCTAGTTCTGTTCTAGTTCTGTTCTAGTTCTGTGCTAGTTCTGTTCTAGTTCTGTTCTAGTTCTGTTCTAGTTCTGTTCTAGTTCTGTTCTAGTTCTGTTCTAGTTCTGTTCTAGTTCTGTTCTAGTTCTGTTCTAGTTCTGTTCTAGTTCTGTTCTGTTCTAGTTCTGTTCTAGTTCTGTTTTAGTTCTGTTCTAGTTCTGTTCTAGTTCTGTTCTAGTTCTGTTCTAGTTCTGTTCTAGTTCTGTTCTAGTTCTTTTCTAGTTCTGTTCTAGTTCTGTTCTAGTTCTGTTCTAGTTCTGTTCTAGTTCTGTTCTAGTTCTGTTCTAGTTCTGTTCTAATTCTAATTCTCCTCTAGTTTAAAAAGTAAAAAACAAAAAGTTTATTTAGAAATTTTAAATTTTGTTTAGGTGAATAAAATTTTTTATAGCTAAATTTTAATAGTTCCACTTAAATATTTAGTCTAGTTTTGGTAATCTTAATGATATATTAACTTAATTAATCTTAGGCTAAGTAAGGTATTAAAAAAATACTATTTTAAAATTATTTTCAAATGAATTAAAGAACCCACAATAAAAGTATTTAATAAACTTAATACTCCATTTATTATACTGTTTATAGTTTTTTCAATTTCTAAAAACTTGGAAAGATCTTAAATACATTTTTATTATTGTCTTCTTATCACAGCCTTGTAAATGAAAACAAATCATAAAATAATTATTATAGAATGATAAAAAAATCTTGATTTTTAGTTTTTGCCAAAACTGATACTATTTATCACCCCAAAGAAGAGGGATTTAAGATATGAGTGTACCCACCATTGGTACCGCTCTAATCTAATCAAAGCCTGAAGGTAATGTTAGCAGGAATTTTAACGAATAATGTAATTTGTAATAATTTATGTTAATGATCAGTGATTTAGTTTATGTACAGATTTGAAACGAGCAACATTGTCCAGCAATATGGTAGCTACAGCAGACATTCTGAAGACGAAGGAACATGTCAGTGAAGCCTTGTCAAGGCTTCGTCCCATGAAAAAGTATGCCACCGAGGGTAGAAATATTCCCTTAAAGAAAAACTGGTCAGAGACCTGGTGTACTTTGTCGACTCATTTTGAAACTGTTTGTGATCAATATTTTAATTTGGAATTGAGTAAAGATGATGTCTTTGTGGTGACTTTTATGAAATGTGGCACTACTTGGATGCAGGAATGTGCCTGGTTGTTGTTGAATAATTTAGATTATGAGAAATCAAATGAGGAGGTTGTTATGATCAGGAGTCCTTTCTTAGAGTGAGACAATAAAGCATTTGGTAATCATGTTAATCTATTAACATTTTGGATCTGTTTTTAGTTTCCACAGCATTACACCTGGTCTACGAAATCACGTTGAGTTGATTGAAAAACTACCCAGTCCCCGTTTAATTAAATCCCACTTACCGGCCAATTTATTGCCTTTACAAATCTGGGAAAAGAAACAAAAGGTAAATTTTTAGACTTTAAACAACAGTCCCTATAAAAACAAACTTTTTCACTCCAATTTCAGATCATTTATGTGGCCCGCAATGTTAAGGATGTCATTGTCTCCTCCTATCACTTTGTAAAAAATTTACAAATGTGGCATGGTGCCAATTTCCATGAGTATGTTGAAGATTTCCTTAATAACGACATCATATACACGCACTTCTGGTCGCATATAGTGGACTTTTGGAAAATGCGTAATGAACCTTTCATATTCTTTGTCACTTATGAAGAAATGAAACGTGATTTGCCAAATGTTTTGAAAAGACTGTGTGTGTTCCTAGAAAGACCTCAATTGTCAGAGACAGAAATGGAGGGACTTATGCAACATTTATCATTTGATAGTATGAAAAGTAAGTGGAATTACTTATTTGTGAAAATTCCGAAATTAATTGAATTAATTTACAGATAATAAAAAAAACCAATTTGACCTATTTACTCAAAGACGGCAATCCTGCCGTTAAGGAGGAGTTCCAGTAAGTTATTTTTTTGAAATTACAAAAACTTTTATAAGCTTTCCCATATAAATACCTAATTTCTTTTTAGATTCATGCGCCGCGGTATGGTGGGTTCTTTTAAGGATGAATTAACTCCGGAGTTGATTGCTAAAATCGATAAATGGTCTGCAGATTTTTTGGCTCAACATGGTTTGAAAGAAGAGGATATTTTTGGTAAATATAGGTGGTATTAGACTAGCTTTTGGCAATTTTTCCATGTACAAATGTTTTTAGGATTTAAGATAAAAAAATTCAAATAAACTTTTGTTTTTCGACTTTTCCGTATTACATCAAATTCAGTTCAGTTCTAGTCAAGTTCTAGTTTCTAGTTCAGTTCTAGTTTCTAGTTTCAGTTCTAGTTCAGTTCTAGTTCAGTTCTAGTTCAGTTCTAGTTCAGTTCTAGTTCAGTTCTAGTTTCAGTTCTAGTTCAGTTCTAGTTCAGTTCTAGTTCAGTTCTAGTTCAGTTCTAGTTCAGTTCTAGTTCAGTTCTAGTTTCAGTCTAGTTCAGTTCTAGTTCAGTTCTAGTTCAGTTCTAGTTCAGTTCTAGTTCAGTTCTAGTTCAGTTCTAGTTCAGTTCTTAGTTCAGTTCTTGTTCAGTTCTAGTTCAGTTCTAGTTCAGTTCTAGTTTCAGTTCTAGTTCAGTTCTAGTTCAGTTCTAGTTCAGTTTCTAGTTCAGTTCTAGTTCAGTTCTAGTTCAGTTCTAGTTCAGTTCTAGTTCAGTTCTAGTTCAGTTCTAGTTTCAGTTCTAGTTAGTCTGTTCAGTTCTAGTTCAGTTCTAGTTCAGTTCTAGTTCAGTTCTAGTTCAGTTCTAGTTCAGTTTCTAGTTCAGTTCTAGTTCAGTTCTAGTTCAGTTCTAGTTCAGTTCTAGTTCAGTTCTAGTTCAGTTCTAGTCAGTTCTAGTTCAGTTCTAGTTCAGTTCTAGTTCAGTTCTAGTTCAGTTCTAGTTCAGTTCTAGTTTCAGTTCTAGTTCAGTTCTAGTTCAGTTCTAGTTCAGTTCTAGTTCAGTTCTAGTTCAGTTCTAGTTCAGTTCTAGTTCAGTTCTAGTTCTAGTTCAGTTCTAGTTCAGTTCTAGTTCAGTTCTAGTTCACTTCTAGTTCACTTCTAGTTCAGTTCTAGTTCAGTTCTAATTCAGTTCTAGTTCAGTTCTAGTTCAGTTCTAGTTCAGTTCTAGTTCAGTTCTAGTTCAGTTCTAGTTCTAGTTCAGTTCTAGTTCAGTTCTAGTTCAGTTCTAGTTCAGTTCTAGTTCAGTTCTAGTTCAGTTCTAGTTCAGTTCTAGTTCAGTTCTAGTTCTAGTTCAGTTCTAGTTCAGTTCTAGTTCAGTTCTAGTTCAGTTCTAGTTCAGTTCTAGTTCAGTTCTAGTTCAGTTCTAGTTCAGTTCTAGTTCGGTTTTAGTTCAGTTCTAGTTCAGTTCTAGTTCAGTTCTAGTTCTAGTTCTAGTTCTAGTTCAGTTCTAGTTCAGTTCTAGTTCAGTTCTAGTTCAGTTCTAGTTCAGTTCTAGTTCAGTTCTAGTTCAGTTCTAGTTCAGTTCTAGTTCAGTTCAAGTTCAGTTCATGTTCAGTTCTAGTTCAGTTCTAGTTCAGTTATAGTTCAGTTATAGTTCAGTTCTAGTTCAGTTCTAGTTCAGTTCTAGTTCAGTTCTAGTTCAGTTCTAGTTCAGTTCTAGTTCAGTTCTAGTTCAGTTCTAGTTCAGTTCTAGTTCAGTTCTAGTTCAGTTCTAGTTCAGTTCTAGTTCAGTTCTAGTTCAGTTCTAGTTCAGTTCTAGTTCAGTTCTAGTTCAGTTCTAGTTCAGTTCTAGTTCAGTTCTAGTTCAGTTCTAGTTCAGTTCTAGTTCAGTTCTAGTTCAGTTCTAGTTCAGTTCTAGTTCAGTTCTAGTTCAGTTCTAGTTCAGTTCTAGTTCAGTTCTAGTTCAGTTCTAGTTCAGTTCTAGTTCAGTTCTAGTTCAGTTCTAGTTCAGTTCTAGGTTAGTTCTAGTTTAGTTTTATATTTTCTTTTTTTGCGTTGGAAACTTCATCTGAAAATGTTCAGTTGGGCTTGATATTAACTTTGCTGTTAAAATTGAAGATGTTTTTAAAACACTTGTGCTAGATCATTTGAACCGATTACCCAAAGATATATATTGATTAAGTGGCCTTGATTTAAGGGCTAGCTGATAGCAAAATAATATTGTTTAATACATATAATTTTAAAGCTTTTGATTTAATTCTTTAATCAGTATTGATATTCTCAAGGTTTTCAGATCTGCCCAAAATTACGTAATATATTAACAGTTAGTAAGGGGCCTGGCGAGCTAAACAATCTCTTCTGTCTACCCAGAGCATTAAAAGTGTTCCGTATATTTTTTACAGCTAATTTGAGATAAAAACATATATGTATTATTACTCTGTATTAGTGTTGATTTAAAAATAGGCCTTCACACTGAACTCAAATCTTATCTCTTGCAAATAAAATTGAAAATGTAAACAATAGTTTTATGTCTACTAATAATTACTCTTGATTTTATAAATTCTACTTAAATCACGTTTGCCAAAACTGATAGCAAATTTGTAGCCCAACAAAATGTACAGATTTTCGTCAAAGAACTTCTTTAATATATGTCAGTCAACATGACTTGACAATATATTACTTTGAATATACATATTTGATACATTATTGACGCTACCTCCAATCTTATCACAGCTATTATGTCTTGAATATGTTTTGTTTATTTTAAATTTGTTATAAAATTAAAATTAATAATAAATGTTTAAATGATAAAGAAATAAGAAAGATTTTAATTAACTTGTTGAAAATTTCTGAAGTGCATATTCAGTTGTCAAAGAGAGATTAGACGGTTAAGATTGAGATTAAAGTAAGCAATAAGCATTAGAATGGTGCATCAAAATATTTTAAAATCGTTGGAACATAAAAGTGAAGCTACCAAAGCTAGATTACCTTATCCCGTAAAAAGATACTCAACTGAGGGTAAAATATTCCTTTAAAGAAAAATTGGGCTGAGACTTGGTGCACTTTACCCGCACATTTCGACAAGTTTTTGAAGATATATTGAATTTTGAGTGCGTGTGACGATGTTTTCGTGGTGACTTTTATGAAGTGTGGCACTACTTGGATGCAGGAATGTGCCTGGTTATTGTTGAATAATTGGATTTTGAAAGTCCAAGGAAGCAGCTGTTATGATCAGGAGTCCATTTATAGAGTGAGTAGAATTGGTAGATATTTTCATATATTTTTAGAGCTTTTGAAAGCTCATCGGTTCAGTTCTAGTTAATTCTAGTTCAGTTCCAGTGCAGTTCTAGTTCAGTTCTAGTCTAGTTCAGTTCAAGTTCAGTTTCTAGTTCAGTTCTAGTTCAGTTCTAGTTCAGTTCTAGTTCAGTTCTAGTTCAGTTCTAGTTCAGTCTAGTACAGTTCTAGTTCAGTTCTAGTTCAGTTCAGTTCAGTTCTAATTCAGTTCTAGTTCAATTCTGGTTCAGTTCTAGTTCAGTTCTAGTTCAGTTCTAGTTCAGTTCTAGTTCAGTTCTAGTTCAGTTCTAGTTCAGTTTTCTAGTTCAGTTCTAGTTCTAGTTCAGTTCTAGTTCAGTTCTAGTTCAGTTCTAGTTCAGTTCTAGTTCAGTTCTAGTTCAGTTCTAGTTCAGTTCTAGTTCAGTTCTAGTTCAGTTCTAGTTCAGTTCTAGTTCGTTCTAGTTCAGTTCTAGTTCAGTTCTAGTTCAGTTCTAGTTCAGTTCTAGTTCAGTTCTAATTCAGTTCTAGTTCAGTTCTAGTTCAGTTCTAGTTCAGTTCTAGTTCAGTTCTAGTTCAGTTCTAGTTCAGTTCTAGTTCAGTTCTAGTTCAGTTCTAGTTCAGTTCTAGTTCAGTTCTAGTTCAATTCTAGTTCAGTTCTAGTTCAGTTCTAGTTCAGTTCTAGTTCAGTTCTAGTTCAGTTCTAGTTCAGTTCTAGTTCAGTTCTAGTTCAGTTCTAGTTCAGTTCTAGTTCAGTTCTAGTTCAGTTCTAGTTCAGTTCTAGTTCAGTTCTAGTTCAGTTCTAGTTCAGTTCTAGTTCAGTTCTAGTTCAGTTCTAGTTCAGTTCTAGTTCAGTTCTAGTTCAGTTCTAGTTCAGTTCTAATTCAGTTTTAGTTCAGTTTTAGTTCAGTTCTAGTTCTGTTCTAGTTCAGTTCTAGTTCAGTTCTAGTTCAGTTCTAGTTCAGTTCTAGTTCAGTTCTAGTTCAGTTCTAGTTCAGTTCTAGTTCAGTTCTAGTTCAGTTCTAGTTCAGTTCTAGTTCAGTTCTAGTTCAGTTCTAGTTCAGTTCTAGTTCAGTTCTAATTCAGTTCTAGTTCAGTTCTAGTTCAGTTCTAGTTCAGTTCTAGTTCTGTTCTAGTTCAGTTCTAGTTCAGTTCTAGTTCAGTTCTAGTTCAGTTCTAGTTCAGTTCAGTTCTAGTTCAGTTCTAGTTCAGTTCTAGTTCAGTTCTAGTTCAGTTCTAGTTCAGTTCTAGTTCAGTTCTAGTTCAGTTCTAGTTCAGTTCTAGTTCAGTTCTAGTTCAGTTCTAGTTCAGTTCTAGTTCAGTTCTAGTTCAGTTCTAGTTCAGTTCTAGTTCAGTTCTAGTTCAGTTCTAGTTCAGTTCTAGTTCAGTTCTAGTTGCAGTTCTAGTTCAGTTTCTAGTTCAGTTCTAGTTCAGTTCTAGTTCAGTTCTAGTTCAGTTTCTAGTTCAGTTCTAGTTCAGTTCTAGTTCAGTTCTAGTTCAGTTCTAGTTCAGTTCTAGTTCAGTTCTAGTTCAGTTCTAGTTCAGTTCAGTTCAGTTCTAGTTCAGTTCTAGTTCGTATCTAGTTCAGTTCTAGTTCTGTTCTAGTTCAGTTCTAGTTCAGTTCTAGTTCAGTTCTATTCAGTTCTAGTTCAGTTCTAGTTCAGTTCTAGTTCAGATTGTTCAGTTCGAGTTCAATTCTAGGTCAGTTCTAGTTCAGTTCAGTTCTAGTTGAGTTCAGTTCTAGGTCTCTGACAATTTACGTTCACTTTCTGAAAGTGGTTTCAAAAGTTTTGTAAATTTATTTAACCTCGAGAATCAGGAAAACATTCTCCTTTATAAATGTGTTTAAAATATTTTTGTATTTATAGCTTCCATGGTATTGTTCCCGACACCCCTAGTCCCATTGAAATGTGCAAACAATTATCAAGTCCCCGGTTGATCAAAACTCATATGCCTGCTAATTTAGTGCCCTTACAAATCT